ATGTCATCTTTCATGTCTCTGTGCCTCTTACCCCAGAGCCTGGCGCACAGCAAGCGTCACCCAGTGAGCTCTCAACGACATGTTGGTCGACAACGGAAGGCTCAGATACCAGCAATCAACCCTTACTGAAGGGGCAGTGTGGCATTCTCGCTTAACAAAGCATGTTGGAAATTGCTTAAATGCCTTGGAGAAACGTGCTTAGTACAAACTGTTGCTGACAATTTCTTAGCATCTCCCTCTGGGGATCAGTTGACTTGCTAGAGAAAACTGTCTCCCTGGGTTCTTGGTAGCTGGAAAACCTCTGGGTCCGTGGAGCACAGAAGACTTGGCTCTCTCCTTTGGCCACTGTGGTGGGCAGTGGCTGTTCACTTCTGCTGCTTCCCTTCCACCTTCTTCCAGGAACAGCCCTGTCGTTAGGGCTCCACCTCTCCCCTACTCTTGGTTCCACTGGGAAGCCAAACTCTGCTCTGCTGCAGCTGAAAACTCGTGTCCGGCTAATCAGAGCACGACACCACCCAGGCGAGCGTGATTGGCTTTTCTTAGGCCAGTGTGAGTTAGGTTTCCTGTCACCTGGAACCAAAACGTTTTTCACTAGATCAGCCACCAAACACAACAGGGGTGCTCACCAAGATTAAACCAGCCACAGCTCAGAGCAGCTGGAGGGCCTTTGGGAGCTGAGGCAGCTCTCTGCAGCTCCGGGGACCCCTACTCCAGTCTGGGACCTGAATCACCACCCGCACCCCTGCAGGAGCTGACTGTTGGCACTCACCTCATCTTCCTCTCAGGGCGCCCCCAAATAAACCCACCTGCCTAGAGGCAGCCACGCACAAAGCTGGATTTATGGAAGCTTCCCTTGGGAGAGGGGAGAGGGCTTCTATCACATACTCCCAGGAAGGGATTTCAGTCTTCCTCATGTTCGTCTGCACAGCCCTCGCCATCACCCTACACCTCACCCTCCTGGCAGAAGCAAACACTTTCCTGTTTTCTCCTCAGGCAGCAAACTCCTCTTCCTTGTCTCAATTCTAGGCAAAAGATGGGCTGCAGGCTGCAGGGCGCCCCTGGGTCTGCTGTTCTGAGCTAGGAAACTATGCCTCGCCCTTCATGTATGTTAATGAGTTCTCAACAGACTGCCGGCTACCAAGCCTGCTATCTGGAGCCTTAAAAACGGTTCCAGAGAGTGAAGCAACTTGCCCCTGGCCACAAGGCTGCTGGGCAGTCAGGACTAGCCCAGTCTGCCTTTGTGACCCAGATGAAGCTCAGAAAACAGCGTGGCCGAGCTGTGTGCTGGTGGGGAAGGGAGAGAGGCAGCACAGGTGGTCGGGAACACTGGGACTCACTTCATCAGATGTGAAGGTGTCAGAACATGTTAGGGCTTCTGGCAAAGAAACAGGAGTATACGTTGTGGAGTCTTGCCTGAGAAAAACGATCGTACAGTGATATGTTTGGGAAAATCACTCCATCTCCCAACTTGTTCAGTTTGTCATGGTGATTGTTGTTTTCCAGGCAGCTTGATTTGCTCGCAGCATGAGTGATGCCCGCCCTGGCATGCAGAGACGCAGCCTGGATGGCACCCTTGGTGGTCCAAGCATATATTTATTTCTACAGGCTGTAAGATCCCAGCAAAAAATGCCCCACCCCCAATCCCTTTACTGAACACGACAACCCTGGGCACACGTATGTTTGAGAAAATGCTTTGAAGGTTGGCCAAAGTGAAGTATGTGTGTCAACTTATGGAATGGGGACACAGGAAAAAAAAAAAAAAGATGGCTGTTTTCTTTGTCGCCAACACAATGTGCACAGTTCAGGGTGGAGATTCAGAGCAGGGGTGTAAATGCTAATCCCCCTCTTGGGATCTGTGTGGCTGAGAAATTACTCAACCTCACAATTCTCAGTTTTCTCCTCTATAAAATGGGGGTGGTAATAACATTTTCCTCATGTGACTATTATGAGGATAAAAATGAAAGAACATACAGAGCAGAGCCCAGATCCTGGTGCACTGTGAAGCCGTCAATACATCAGGGATTATTATGCTTTATTATTATCTGGAATGCTTCTTTATTACGCAAAGGACATATATTACTTTTCCCATGAGGAAAAAGGTGAAGTTTGGTTTTTACGATCCTCTGCAGTAAAGCAGCATCTGTTTTCTTTGACCTTTCTTTTGGGTCCAGCAATTCTGAGAAGGAAATGACTGCAGAGCATTTTCACTTTGCACTTCAGCTGGAAAGAGAGGTGACAAACAGAATGGGAGACAGATCATTTGTAACACAATTCAACTCTGGCCTCCAATTTTTGAGAATTCCGCCTTATTATGAAAGTTTCCTTAGTTATTCAAAGGAAAAACAGCTCACATCGCCTTCTCTCACTCCCCACATATGGAGAAAACCCAACGAACCCCAGCTGGACCCACACTGACCAACGTGGTTAGACACTGAACAACCATCATGGACTGACCACTGTGTCTGGTGCTCTGTCCATACTGCCTCACTTAACTCTCAATCGACCTTATGAAGAAGCACCCGAGTCCAGAGGTCACTGCGGCTCAGTGGCTCAGGATAAGGACACTAGACCCCAACCAACTGGATGTGAATCCCACCTATGTGACCTTAGGAAAATTACTCAACCTCTCTGAGCCTCAACATCTTAACGGGTAGCACGAAAGTAATACATGTCTCATGGGGCGCAGTGAGAATTTAGAGGTGTAATTAGGTGGAAGAGACCAAGAACAGCGACTGGCACATAGTAAGTACTTGATAAATATGAGCTGTTATTGTTCTCACACCTACTTCGTGGCCGAGTAAGTAGAGCGGGCGTCTATAGTTTGTTCTGCCCAACATCCATATTCTCACCTCCTGGAAACCACACCCCAAGTTTATTTTCAAGTTCCTCTTCCATTCATTGCACAGAGTCTTGGATAGGCTGTCAGTCAAAATACTCCAAGAAAGATATGGGTGGCCCGAGAAATGCCAATCAGACATTCTTTCCTAGAATTTGACTCTTAAGGATAGTGACAAAAATGACTGAACACGATTAGAAATCTAAGAATTCAACTTCAGAACAGCACGGACCAGGCTCTCCATTAGTTTCTATTGCCCAGATCCCCAGATCTATTCGGGTCACATCCCTCCACCCCATGAGCTGTCTCCCAGGCTTCCTACGTACAAATTCCAGGGGTCATTTCTGTGGCTTACAATGAAAGAACTCATTCAGCCCATCTATTGATATCTTTGTTTTGGCAATATTTGGTATTTTCTAAACATCTGATTTTTTTTAATAGTCTATTACTCTTTCATAGAAGCAAGATCTCCCTTGCCCTCTGAAGTTATTACAGTTCATATAAAGCCTTTGTTCCATGAGCTCCATTTTACTTCCCAGTGTTAGTTATTATCTTTGTAGAGTTTGGAGCCCTCGTTTCATGTGTTTGGTTTTCTTCAGTTTGGCAACCCCAGCAATTGGTCCCCACCAGCCTGTCTGCAGCCTCCCTACACAGAGAGTGAGGAAGGGGCAGTGTGTAGTAGGGCAGGATGCACCAACCATCCAACTCCAGAGCATGAGGGCTCCTTACGAGCCCAGGCACCTCACGAGCCCAGGCACCTCACGGGATGCATCCCCACTCACTGCCACAGCCCAGCTGCAGGGAGAGACCCCAGACCGCTAGATTTCCACAGGAATACACGCTATGGGAAGAGGTTATTTCCCAAGGGAAGAAGTGTAGCCTCACAGACAGAAGCCAAGTTGACTTGGCGAGTGGCCCTCAACTTCAAGGTTCACATGAAATTATTTGCAAATTCATGTGAACTTTGATTTCCTCACCTATAAAATGGGTATATATTCCCAGCATGCAAAGCCATGGTGAAGGTTAAAGAATATTTAGTAATATATGCAAAACACCCAGCAGAGGGCCCAGGACACACATCCTATAAGTGGCAGCTATAATTACTTTTACTTTATGTCACTGAGAACGCTCCTGCAGTGTGATTCAGCGTGCACCCCAATAGGCTGTACTTGAGCAGATGGAATTTTAACACCCTATCCTCCAACTTCACGTTGATGTTTTTCTTTAGGGTGCCCCACTCTAACCCCATGATCAATCAGTATTTCCGGGTCTGCTCTATAAGAGGCTCATCTCTCCCAGCTGTCCTGTAGGACTCTTTTCTTCAAACACCATCATCTCCAGGGAGACTTCCCTGACTTCCACAGCCCTCTGCACTTACCTCCAACATAACCCACAATTCAGTGAATGACAGCAGTCCCTCAGTATCCATGGGGGATTGGTTCCAGGACCTCCCCGAAGATACCAAACTCCACGGATGCTCAAGTCCCTCGTATAAAATGGTATAGCATTTGCATGTAACCTACACACATCCTCCCACATACTTTTAACTCATCTCTAGATTACTTACGATACCGAATACAGTCTGAATGCCAGGAAATAGTTGTAAATACAATGTAAATGCCACGTAACATAGTTTGCTTTTTGGAACTTTCTGGAATTTTCTTCCCCAAGTATTTTTGCATCTGTGGCTGTGGAACCCCCACGGATACGGAGGGCCAACTGAAAACTGTTTACCCATCTCCCGTGCTGGGCTCCAAGACACACGTTTCTTTCACCCTGGGTCCCAGCGTCTAGCACGGAGGAAGTGCTCTGAGAAGGGGAGCCGGGGATAAATGATTTGCAGAAAGCAAACCATCCCTCCTGTGCTGCTGCTTCCCCAGCATCTTTGCAGGGAAGCAAACCAACGAAAGGCTAAAGACCGGCCATGCCGACAGATCTGCAGACATCGCCTGGTGCTCAAAGGAAAATCTGGCCACAGGGGGCAGAAGTTATCCCCTACACGTTCCGTTTTTCTTTCTCCCCATCCCTCACCGTCTCTAAACCATCTGCCTCTTCCCCCAACTTTACAACAGGAAGTGACAACAGGAAGTCTCCCTTAAGCATTTTCTAATTTCTCCGTTATTTGGTTTTCTACTTTGGTACATGTGAGCCTTGGCTGTATTTCACACAGAAGCTGACATATTTTATTATGACACACCCCATAAAACAGAGCACATATAAATCACCTGGCATGGTTTTGCTTCACCTGGTTGTTATTGCTAAGATCTCTATTTCTAAGAGCACAAAAGAGAACAGTTCTTGAATCCACAGACGAACAAGGACAGGGTGAGCAGCAGTCAAGTCTACCAGGCTGGGAGACAGAGACCAGAGACACGGGCTCCTGGGTGGCTGTCTGTCTGCAGAGACAGGAATGACACAGACGGAGAAGCCACACGAACACTCCAGAGAGACCCGGGCAGCTGGAGAAACACTCTACAACTACAGCCCATCTATCAGACCCCTCTGGCTTTCTCAGCCCTAAGAGATTCTGAAATAAACACAAAGGCCCAAGGTGGCATAATACCGAAGCCAGCGGTACCTACTCTTTGGCCTCAATCACTGCATGGGTATGTTTTATCTTGGGGACCCTGACAGTCCCTCTCCTGGGCAGAAGAGCCAGCCAGTCCCTAATGTCCCCGGTGGCCTCAACAACCCCACAGCAAGACCCAGGCAGGCTCTAAAATGTCTTGCCCTCAAAGGCCTGGAGATTGAAGGCAGTATCCAGAAACTTCTTCAGAGACACCAGGTGAGTGTTCCTGTTTCCTGTGGCTGGTGCAGCTGCTGGGTCTCGGCCAACATACCTGGGGGAGGAGAGTCAAGCTAAGCGGAGGGCTGAGCCTGGCCCTGCTGCTACCCCAGGACTGCACCGGGTCTAATCCAGCTGCAGAAACAAAGAGCCTGAGGTTCCAAGGGGCCAAGTCACTGGCCTAAGATCAAAGGTAGGAGATTTGAGACACACAGGAGGTTCTCTAGTTCAGTTCTGGCTGCAGAACAAACACAAAGGTTTCCCCTCCATAAGGCCAAATTAAAGAGGATCCCTGATGGGGAAGCTGATCTGTCACTGACAGTCACAGAGCCAGCAGGGACTATGGGGCCCAACTCCTCAGTTTCCAATGCAGCCCAGAGAAGGGCAGTGGCCAGTGCTGGGTCACACAGCAAATGGGGTGGGCAGAGCCAGGATGGGGCCTCAAGCCCCCAGAGCCTCAGGCCTGGAAGACGTGAGGGGTAAATGGCGGGCAACCCCTTGCACCCAGCCTTGTACCATATGGGCCGCGCTCGGCCCAGGATGGTCATGAAGCGCGGGCTGATGTAGTCGTAGTAGCCCATGTTCTTGTGCTCCTCCTGGCACCACACCAGCTCTGCACCTGGGTACTTCTCTGCCTCTCGCTTGATCAGGTCGAAGGGGAATGGAGAGATCTGGGACAGACAGGGAGAAAGAAGGGAATAGCTAGGGGAAGGGGGAAATGCGCATGCCAGGCCCCCAGGAGAGCAGCCACCGCTTCCCTCACTGGCCCCAGCCCTGGCACGCTGCCCAGGGCCAGGGGGCTGGCGATATGACCTTGCTCGTCACTCTGAGCAGTTGAGGGGCTCGGGCGCACCTGCTCCAGGCGTGTGATGGCCACTTGCTCATCCAGGCCCTGGCTGCTCCGCTCCTTCACCAGGTCATAGTACACCTTTCCCGTGCAGAAGATGAGCCGCCGCACCTGCCCGGGAGCCTGCGCCGCAGCCCCATCCTCAGGAATCACCCGCTGGAAGCTGGTCCCTGGGGACCGACAGGTCATGGCAGGGGCGTCTGCTCCCAGAGGGGCCAGAGCAGCTTGGGAATCAGGTCCACATCCCTGGCACCTCCAGGTTCTCCCTGGCCACTAAGACAAGCCCCAGATTTAGACCTGTGGCTGCAATAGGAACCTCTTGAGCCAAACAATGGAGCAGGGGACAGAGGACACTCTGAGACGTCATAGGGACAAGGGTGGAGACAGTGGCTGGAGCCAAGGGCAGAGCCTTGGGAGCATCAACAATAAGGTGATGGGGTGGGGGGCGCTGGGGATGATGGGGAGAGCCCCTGAAGGGGACAGAGGTGATGTCACATCCCCATCTGACAGCGTCACTGTCCCAAACCTGCTCCCCATCCAGCCATGCCTACCTCCCAGGCACACTCAATCCACCCCGTCACCAAGCTGGAAGGCGAACCCTGCACAGTCCTCCCTCTCAGCCCCAGAGCCCAGCCTCCATCCCCAAGTCCCATCCATTTTTCCTTCCTGAGCTCATGCCATGTGCCAGGCACCAGACTAAAAATACTACAAAAACCTCTGAGGAAGGTACTGTAGGGTCCCTGCAACCCAGATGAGGACACTGTGGCAGAGAGGGTCACTGGCTGCCAGGGCCCACCAGTACTAGGCACTCAGCCCAGGCGGTCCAGCCCAACGCCAGAGCTCTGCACTGCTGGCTCAGCCACCCGCCACATCTGAGGGGATGCCCACACACACACGTGAAGAACAAGCACCTGTCCACGCCACTGAGGTCCTCCTGGCCAGCCCCTGCCCCTCTGCCTACAACCCAGGACCGTTTTCCCAGACAGCTCTGCTCTGCCAAGCCTCAAGGCCCCACACCTGCTCCTCCCTGATCCTCCACTGGGTCACGTCTCACTTCCAAAACCTGGTCCTTCGGGTGCTTTATCTGACCTCCGACTCCCAGCTAAATGAGGCTGAGAGCTCTTGGAGGGGCCGCTGGCTCCCCAGGGCCAGCAACGTCTGTCCGGCTCATGAGAGAAAACAACGGATGAGTGAACTGATACTCAGTGTCCCACGAACTAGCAGACCTCTACCAGGCCTCCTGCCTCTAAGCTCTTCCGGCGCAGCCAGGCCGGCCCTGCTGGGAGGCTGCGGGGTCCCAGTGCACTCCTCTGGCCCTGGTGCTCCGCATAAGTGACCCAAGTGGGTTCAGCCACCCGGCCGCTGCACCAACCTCCCAACCCAGCTGCTGGCGGGGATCATGCCAGAAGCTGCTTCAGGGCCAACAGAGCCACAGACAGAGGCAAGAACGGAAGAGTCCCGGGAGCAGAGGCCACACGTGGGCCACCAGGCCCCCCATCAGCCGTCTCCCCCACACGCCCAGCACATACCAGAAACCATTTGGTCAAAGCTGGACTTGGCTTCTGGGTGCCTCAGCAGAGATTTGGGTGTGAAGATGATCAGCTGGAAGGGAAACACGTGCCCGGCTGCCAGCCGCCCCTGCTTGGCCAGGGTGCCCTGCACTTGGCCCCGGTACGGTCACGGTGACGACCAGGGCGGGTGGCTCACCGGCTTGCGGAAGGGCAGCAGGATCTGGCGGCGCAGCACGTGGAAGTAGCTGGCCGGCGTGGAGCAGTTGACCACTATCCAGTTGCAGTCGTAGAGCTGTCTCACCTCGAAGTCCTGGGTGAACGCCTGGAGGGGCAGGGTGCGGCTGGGAGGTGGCCTGCCTGTGGCATCCACACCCTGGCCTTGCTGGGCAGGGCAGCGTGCACTCCTGTCCTGGGGGAGGGCGGGCAACACTCACGGGGTAGGCGTCCGAGTCATCATTGCTCATCTGCAGGAACCTCTCGGGCCTGGCTGAGGAGTGCTCCGGGCCCTGGGAGCAAATGCCAGATAGCCCAGGCTGGCCAGCGCTCGGGGGGGACTGGGGATCTGCCACCCAGGACGGGGACTCTGCGCTTGGGGGAGAGTCTAAAGGGCTTCGTGGAGGAGATGCCCTCACTCCGGAGTCTCAACCACAGGAAAGCATCAGGAATGTGGGACAAGAGTAGGGAGGTAGCCTCCGATGAGGGTCTGGCCACAGCCACCATGTGTGAACATGTGGGGCAGAAGGAAAAAGCAAAAAGGCCAAGATGCTCTTTCTCTAGAACGTTCTGACCTACAGCAGTGACTGTTTACTATGTGCCCGTGGTGTGCCAGACATAGCTCTACGGACCCCACACAGATTATTCTCTCGTCTTGTGAAAGCAGCCCTGCGATGGAGATGAGGAAGGTGAGGGACAAAGAGATTAAGAAACAACCTCAAGGTCACTCAGCCAGAAAGGGACAGATTCAAACCCAGGTCTGACTCCTACTCCTACCCTGGCCCACGGGGCTGCTCTGCTCCATAAGAGCAGCAAGACCCCCCGCGCTGTCCTCCAAGCTGGCTCTCCGTGGGACAGGGGTGACCTGCTCCTCCCTTAGTGGGGACGCCCCAAGGACCCACGGCCACAGGCACCAGCCAGGCCGGCCCAACTCTCCGCAACCAGCCTGACTCACGCTCCACCCAGTGAGATGCCAGCCACCTTTACAGCTGGGAGACTGTGGGCAGTCACAGGCCTTCTCTCCTCGCATGTGAAACGGGAACAGAACTGACTGCCTGGTCCAGCTGTGAGGATGCCATAGGATTATACGTGGCGTGTAAAGTGCACGGCACAGGGAGACCTGACTCTGAGCAGTACTGATCAATCCCTGACCACGTGACCAGTCCAAGCTGAGTGGGTCCTCGGGGCCATCCACTGCAGCCAGCACAGCCCTGCCCACGCTCCACCTGGTCAGGCCACACACCCACCAGGCTGGCATCTCCTGATGCTGTGCTCCTCCCCTCCCCGAGGGCCTGCACATCCTCCTTCTCCCCCACATGCGGTTCCCCCAACAACATAGGTTCAAATTCCAGCTACTAGCTGTGTGACCTTAGGCAAGCTACTCCACCTCTCTGTGCCCCAGTTTCCTCATCTGGAAAGTGGGAACAGGTCCCGGCACAAAGCAGGCGCTCAGGCATGTCCGTTCCGTTTACTGCTGGGACAGCAGCATCACCCACCTCAGCAGCGGTGACGCAGAGCTACGCAGGCCCCACCCTGCAGACCCGTGTGCTTCCGGGGGACTGGGAGGCACATACCCCCCCTCAACTCTGCAAGTGGCCAAGGTCTAGCCGTGCTCTCCCAGGCCGGCCGGGGCCCGCCCCCACGGCCCTCACCATGCCCTCCATGCCGTGGGGCAGCAGCAGCACGACGCCATTGTGCCGAACCCACTTGGCCTGGCCCGTGCTGATGAACTGGTCGATGATACACTGGGCCGTGTTGTGGAAGTCACCAAACTGCGCCTCCCAGAGGACCAGGGCGTTGGGGCTGGCCATGGCGTAGCCCAGCTCGAAGCCTAAACGGGAGACGCCGAGGCAGAGCCTGTCACACACGGTCCCCAAGTGGTGGTGGCTCCGGCCAGACCCAGCCCTTCCTCCCACGCGCTGCCTGCCCCGCCCGTCCCTCCCAGCAGGACAGAAGTGCCCGGGGACTCCTTGGCGCCCAAAGACCAGGATCTCCCTTCCTGGCCACCGGCAACACACCCAGAGATGCCGCTCTCAGCCCTGACCTCACGTACAGCCAGCTTCAGCCTTATGTAGGCCAGGAGTCAACTCCAAAGACACCCTGGGGAGGCAGCAGGGCCCATTTGCCAAGGGGCCCCCCAAATATGGCGGGGCTGCCGAGGGGAACGGGCAGGAACAGCCCCAGAGGCAGCTCCCCAGAAGCGGTGGCCAGTCTCGGTGGGTTCCCGTTTCTGGGAGGAAGCAGGCCAGCTAAAGGTCAAGCCAAGGGAGAGTGCAGGGGGGCATTCTGGGTAGCCCAGAGTCTAGGGAGGGGGCCTCGAGACGGGGCTGCTGGGTGTGGTGGCACAGAGGGCAAGACAGAGGTCAGGAACGTGGAGGTGGCCAGGCCAGGCTCAGGGCCGGTCAGTGGCAGCAGCAGTCAGTGGACTCGATGGGGCTTTCTGTCTGGGCCCACTGTTGCCCAGGGACAAGCTCTGGTATCCAGAGCTCCCACCCAGGCCAGACTGCACCCCCACCCCCCATCTGTACTCTCTGAGGGGCCAGATGGGACAGGACCTCATCTCTGATGTGGCCTCAGGTGGGGGCAGCCCAACCACTGTCCCTCAGGGCTGTCCGAGGACTCAGGTCCACCCAGGGGCCTCTGAGCCTCTTTGGCCCCACCCAGCCCCAGACCACGGTCAAAACAACAAAAACAGACACCCTGAGGTGCAAGACCCTCTCTGGTCCCCAAGCATCTCAGGGCCCGCCCGACCTGCAGGCAGAGTTCTGACCCACCCAGAACTCCGTACTCCGAGAGGGAGCTGTTGCACACAGTGTAGGGGGCCTGGTGAGGCCAGAGGTGGTTCATGGGGACACACGTCCTCCGGTCAACTTCCTGGTCATGGAGAACGTGGTGCCGGTGACTGCAGAGACACAGACCAGGAAGTGGGGGGAGGCGGGCGGACTGAGCAGGACACCAGGCAAAGTCCCACAGGATGGCGACATCAAGAAGGCCGTGGAAGACCAGAGCGATCTGGTCCTTCCTCTGGGCAGCCTCCCCTCCCACTGGTGCCCTCACACATGCCCTGGGGGTCTTGGAGCACAGGCGTGAGAGGCTCAGCTTCTCACCTAAGGAGGGATCCGATGAGACCTGCCTTGCCGACCTCCCAGATGCTGGGTGGAGCCTGAGACCCTAGGAGGCCACACCCCAGGGGCACCATCTCCCTGCCCATCCTGCTAGCCCCTTTACCACCTCACCTGCTCTGTCCAGGTTTACAGGAGGCAGGAATTCCTGTGCATAAGGGGGGCCCCCCTGGCCAAACCCCAAGCCTTGTGAGGACTGACATGCAACTCAGGGTGCAGTGGAGTGGCCCTCTGTACCCTGGTTGGAGCAAGACCAGCAGTGATGAGGGAGTGGGACGTGGGAAAGATGGCCTGTCGAATACTGGAAGCCACACCTCCAGGACTCACTAACATGGCAGAGACGGAGTTGAGATCCCAAACATCCGGGGTCCCAAACAGAGTAAATGTAATGAGGACAACCGGCAAGTGTAAAGTCCCTCATCTGGACCCAAAACCGAACTGCGAACAAGCAAGATGATGGCAGGGAGCTGGCTTGACAGTAGTTCACAGAAGAGAAACAAAGGATCTTGAGGACCATAGATAACCACAAGGGTTGACATCAACCAACAGCTCTGGCCAAGCAGTCAGCTCTGCACGCTGGCCCCGTGGGGACAGAGAGGCAGGCAGCCTAGCAGCCCTCAGACAGCTTGGCCCAAGGGTGGGGGCTAGCATGTTGATAGAGTTACCTGAGAACACCTCCTTGGCTTCCCAGTCAAGGTCTAGGAAGAGAAGGAAGGGCCACTCCACTCCAGAGACCCTGGGCCGACTGTGAGAGATCCCCAGCGCAGCTGAGCTCTCAGCTCCCCCCAGGCACAAGGCTAATGCCCATACGGCCTTGGGCCCAGAGCCCCCCACCCTCACCTGAATGTGCCCCTCTCCACGTCCTGCCCACTGAGCCGCACATGGATGCCTTCCTTGAGCAGGGAGCCAAAGGCCATGTACTCTGCCAGCGCCCAGTCCACTGTCCTCTTCCTGGTCATGTCCGCACGGCCCCGCAGGATACGAGAGAGGCCTGCGGGAGGGGAGGGCCAGCCTGAAGGCCACAGGGGCTTGGCCACCCCATCTGGGACAGCCATAGTCCCTGGGACCTGGGCCGGGTGTGCATATACTCAGTGTACACCCCTCCCACCGAGCAGGGCCCCGGCAGGATGCAGGAGGCCCCTCCTCCAGCATCACCACTCCAGCCAACACACAGGGCCAGCCTGAGCCCACATCCCCACCAGCCTCCCTCCCTGCAGGAAGGAGCAGGCACCGTTAGGCAATCATCCGCCACATGCGTACGCCGCATTCGTTGATTCAGGGACGTTTCTCATAAGCCCACGGGAGAGGTACCAAACTCCCCCACCCCTAGATGAGAAGACACGCTCAGAAGAAGGAATTCATTTACTCACGATCACATAGCTATGAAGGTGCTTGGATCTGAGCCCAGGCACCCGGCCCAGGCTGGGCTCCCATCAGCCCTACACCCACACAGACCCTGTGTGACTGCACAGAGCCGGTGCCCCAAGACACCTGGGCCTCCACGTGCATGTGGAGGAATCCTCTTGGAACGCCCACAGGCTGCTCAGAGGGTGCACAGGGACCCCACTACCATCGCGGGGGCCCTCCAGGCTGCCTGAGCAGAGGCCACGATGGACACCATCGTGGCCAAGAGGCGCAGCCAGTGATGACCTACTAGCCTAGGGTCGCCCTCTGTCATCCACCCAGCCCAGCACTCTTGCCGCCCAACATTCTAGGCCCAACCGCCCCCTCCATGGGAAGCCCTTCTTTCCCTGCTCTCCTTCTGCCTGATGCAGGGATGCCCTCGGCAAAGGCATTGGGAAAATACAAGGTGTCCCACAGAAGCCTGGTCACCAGCACCCAGCTGGGAGCGTGGCATCCACATCTGCTCACCCTGAGAGGAGCTGTTAACACAGGCACCTCATGGGGCACAAAGGAGGCACTGAGAGCTCCGCTGATCTACCCAAGACCAAGTCAAGATGAGGGCCGGGCCTCCCTGACTCCTGATGCCATCTCCCTTGGGGCACGATGTCTGGGACAGTGGCCCATGCTGCAGCCTGCACAGCAACCTCACCCGTGTGGATCTTAAAGTCCTCCAGGGGCACAGAGCTGGCCACTTCACCAATGTGGGTCAGCATGTCCTCTGGAATACCCGTGGCTGGGCATGTCATGCTCTTGGGCTCCCCGTCCACAGTGAAGAAGCCTGAGAGGGCAGAGGCTCTGTGACTTGTGTGTGGCAGTGGGGCCTCAGCTCCCCTGGCCAGGCTGTCTCCCCAGGACTCAGGGGCCCACCACTCCCTTAACCCCAATGGCACTCAAACCCTGAGCCCATCCTGGGGACCTGGGACAGCTGACAGCACCCACCTAACATCCTCCCCTCCGGCGCCTGCGAGGCCCCTCCCTGGACCCAGGGTCACAGCCATCTAGCTCTGCCCCAGAGAGGCCCGCTGAGCACCCCTCCCCCAGGGCCCACTCCACTTTGCGGTCCACCCTCCCTGACCCAGCCCTTTCCAGGAAGCAGCTCATCACATGTGTCCCGAGGGCGACACTGTCTACCTCTACTCCCGCCTACCCCACCTGCAGGAATCAGTCCCACACAGCCTCAGGGGTCTCAGGGACGAAGCCCACAGCCTCTGGGCTGGGCAGAGACTGCCCTCATTCAGGATCACTCCAGTCCTGGTCCCAGTGCCAGAGGCCAGCGCCCAGGCAAAACACTCTCAGCCACACGCTGCTCACTCACCAGGCCAGGGGGAGTCCAGCCAGTGCTTTATATGCAGGATCTTTTTATCCTTGGACCTGCCAAACGCCTCCTCACAGATCCGGTCATATTTGGCGATTTCTTCCTGAAATCAGGGTGAAGGCCTGGATTGAGGCAGTGATGCCCTGGGCAGCCGGAGGCTGAGTCAACCCAGACTCATAAACCCTGGTCCCTCTCACCACATTCTAGAGGAACTGTCTGCCCACTGGCCCACAGGGACCTTAAGGCCAGAGATAAAAGTCCCAGAGTGCAGGGGGAATCCTGGAAAGAGTTCAGGTGATTCCACTCAGCAAGGGACTTGGAGGAACGCAGGGAAGACTCACAGTCCTTGCTCTGAGAGCTCCCTGCAGGTGGGAGGGCAAGCACATCCACAGATAACTATGGGGTCAAACCCGGCTCAGGGCTACCTCCTACAGGAAGCCTTCTTGGACTCTGGCCTGAGGATGGGCTTCCACGCATCGCAGCGTTCACTGTACCCCACCAGGCTGTAAATGTCTTTGGTCCTCTGTCCCCCTTGATAACTGGGGGCTACTGGGGACAAGGACCATATTGGCTACTTCTATAAACCGCCAGTGCCCAGCACTGGGCTGATGACATCAGCAACCGTCTCAGGCTGATCCCAGGCGCTGACCGGGCCCACCTCGAATTCCTGCAGGGTCACTGTGCCCTCGGCGATGAGCTTGTCTGCATACTTCTTCAGCACAGGCACCTGCCTGTGGATCTGCTTGTACATGAGCGGCTGCGTGAACATGGGCTCGTCCATCTCGTTGTGGCCACGCCGGCGGTAACAGACCTGCAGGGACAGAAGGTGGGTCCCGCGCCCAGGCGGTGTGGCTGGCGCAGTCACTGCACAACTGGGACACACCTGGCAGGCCACATTCCGTGAGGCCTCACCAGCCCCCACTACAACCCATCACCAAATGCCCCACCCCCAGGCCTCCGCAGAGATGGTGCTCAGCAGTTCTAAACCTGCCGCTCAGCCCCGACTAGCAAAGATGTTGCAGACCCGGCGCACTTGCCACGGCAGGGACAGTCCGAGCACCTCCACCTCAGTTCCCCAGACCCACCAGGTCCACCACGACGTCTTTATTGAAGGTGTTCCTCCACTCGGCCGCCACACTGCACACATACATCACGGCCTCTGGGTCGTCTGCATTCACGTGGAAGATGGGCGCGTTGACTACACGGGCCACGTCGGTGGGGTATGGTGAGGAGCGGGCCATCCGGGGGTCCGTGGTGAAGCCAATCTGCAGAAGCAGGAGGCACTGAGAGCTGAACAGCAGCAGCCGCCTGGGAGACCAGAGGGCCGGGGGCCAGGGGAGAGGCGTCTTTGCCTCGAGGTCCATCGGGTGTGCTCAGGAGGTGCAGGGGACACGATGGGCTAACAGTGGATGACCTCAAAATCAGACGTAGCCGTGGGTCCCACGGGGACGGCGGTAACACCAGGGGAATCGTGTCTGCTCTTTCTCCTGCAATCATTTTTATACAGTGGGAGTGGGGAGCGCAAGTTGGGGTAAAACCCAGTCTCACCAGTTACTAACTGTACAACCTTGGGCCAGGTACTTAATTCCCAAAGCCTGTTTCCTCATCGATTAAAAGGGCTCATTAAATTCCTACCTCACAGGGTTATACTGTGAAGGTTAAATGACTTAATATGCGAATAAGGTAGCTAACCCAGGGCTTTACAGGCTCAGAGGAAGAGCTGTTATTAACCACAGCTACCTTTTTTAAAAGCAAAGGCTGTGAGAGTTGTGCTCTAAGACTGCCTGGGTCACATGCAGCTCAAGGCAGCATCTAGCTACATGCTCAGCCTCAGTGCTTGCTAGGTGCTGGTTATACCCATCTTCCTCTGACCTTACTGCTTTCTCACATATATAATACGGGGGGAGGGGGCTGCAGAGGGAAGGACAGAGAGACACAGAGACAGAGACAGACAGATGTATACACCTCCCAGTTCCACAGACCAGGAAACCGAGGCTGAGAGATCAGGCATCTTGCCTGAAATCACACTCTGGTAAGTAGCAGAGTGGGGGGGTTAAACCCAGAAACGCCTCACTCGTCCCCTCAAAGTGCTGCCTGGATTCAGGGATGGACGACACTGGCAGGGCCCAGCACGCAGCCCAGGCCCTCACCTGGTTGTTGACGACGACGTGCACGGTACCGTTGGTGGTGTAAGAGGGCAGGTCACTCAGGTGGAAGGTCTCGTAGACCACACCCTGGCCAGCGAAGGCGGCATCCCCATGGACCAGGATGGACATGACCTGCAGGGCAGGATATAAGCCAGGAGGGGCCCCCATGCCGCAGCCCGAGAAGCCCAGCCCTGCTCCTGGACTTCAGAGATTCAGAGCCCACCCCTCAGAACCCAGGACCTCAGGGCCCAGGCAAGCTCACCTTCTTGCCCTGAGCGTCCCCGCGGTAGAACTGCTCTGCCTTTGTCTTCCCCTGCACCACGGGGTCCACAGCTTCCAGGTGGGAGGGGTTGGCCACGAGCGACAGAGTGATGTTCCTGTTTGTGACTCGGTTGATCCTCTCATGGTACATGCCGAGGTGATATTTGACATCTCCGGAGCCCTGAAGGTTAGGGTGGCCTGTGATGAACCTCCCCCCCAACCCTATCCCAGACATGCAAGCTTACAGTGGCGCTGGGACGTTCCCTGGATTCTGCTCCCTGGGAAGGCTGTTTTGTCCCTGACTCACACCTGCATCCTTTCCCCAAACCCAGCACAACGCCCTTCTTGCCCTCCAGGCTGGCCTAAGAAAGGTAGGCAGGTTCCCTGGGCCTTGGCTCCCTTATTGGAGCCCCTCCACATTATCAACAACCATCCTCTCCGCATTAACGATGGCAGGGTGGGGAAGGGGTAAGGCACCCGTAGGAAGCGGCCAGCCAGCTGCAGTGAAGGCACAGAAATGAAGGGCGGCTCTTCATTTGTATTGAGACCACGGGCTAGGCCTCTGGGCACACATTGGAGCAGGACCCATACCTAACTCCTTACACCAAAGTAACCAAAAATGTACAGACAAAGCCATAGTATCAGGGGAAAACATGACATACTTTATGATCTTGGAGTAGGGAAAGTCTTTCTAAACAATGTACAAACCTCAGAAGCCATAAAGGATAAGACAGCTAAAATCTAATATATTTGCCATGTGGGAAGAAGATCCATGCACAGTATTAGGGGAAAAAAATCAAGCTGGGAAAATACTTATCAGACAAACGCAGGCAAAGGGCTAACTCCTTCAATACATAAGGCATTTTTACAAATTGGTGAGATAAAGCCCAAAAAACCCATAGAAAAATGAGCAAAAGCCAGGAAAAGGAATTTACAGAAAAAGGCACCCATGACTTAAACATGTGAAAAGACGCTCAAATTCGAAACAGAGAAATATGTTCAAATGCAGTGACTTTTGGACATAGAACATTGGCAAAGATGGAAAGGTTGGACAGAGTAAGGGAAGCCGGGGGCCTGGGACCTTCGCACACAGCGTGTGGGCTCCCTGCTGTCTGCAAGCTCTTTGGAGGGCAATTCATTCCTACCTCCTCAGCTCCAGCCACCGCATTTCTCGGATGCCATCTAAAAGTGCACACATGTGCGCAAAGACACTCATGCCACCACCTAATGCTCATCAACAGGAGATAGCAGAAACCAGAGGGGCACTCGAAGCTTGGGGAGCTCTGTGTGCAGCTCTGAAACAGTGACAGCCCGTTAAGTGAAAACAGCAAGGTGGCCAGAGGCATCACGAGCTGCTCCCCTGGCTTTTTACAAATAAAGCTGTACTGAACACATATGTGTGTTCGCACTGCGTGGAACATTTCTGGAAGTACACACTTTAACACAAAAACTGACCACAGCAGAGCCTATGGGGAGCAGGAAAGGGGTCTCAGAAGGGAAACACACTCATTGTGTAATCTTTTCTTCAAACGATGCTCACATTACTTTTTCTATTAAAAAAAAGTAAATTTGTTTAAAGTGTCCTTTGGCCAGGTTTTACAGTTTACTCACATGTCGTCTCTGATTCCTCACAACCATTCTGGGGGCAGGAACTTTTATCCCCATTTTACAGAAGAGCAAACTGAGGCTCAGAGAGATGAAGGTGCTTGAGCAAAATGAACATGATGGCGGGAAGATTCTGGATTGGGAGCCAGCAGATGTGGATTCTATTCCTACTCTGGCCTAACGTGCTGGATGATTTTGGAGCAGTCATTTAATGTGGTTCATTTTAACAAACCATGCACTTGTGCTGAGTGCTGGGGCTTCGGGAATGAGGTCTCTGCCATCACCCTGCTACCAGCCTGGAAGGGAAAACAGACATACACACACACAAGCACGCACGCGTGTGTGCGTGTGCGTGCGCGTGATGGAAAAGGCCAGAGTAGAGACGGATCTGCTGGGAAAGGAGGCACAGAGGAGGGAGAGACAGGATTCTGCCTGGAGGACCAGAAAAGTCACTAGAAGGGGAGACAGGCAGGGCTGGGAAAGAGGCAGAGAGCAGAAGAGAGGAAGGCCATCTGGCTGAGGGCCCAGCATGGGCAGAGGCATGGGGTATGAGGCATGCATGACATGTATACGTGCCAGGAAGGGGGTGAGGGCAGAAAAATATTCTCTCTGCTCATCAGTGGGCACAGGAAACCGTCCTGACCTCCCAGTGCTGTGCTGGTCAAACAAGTGAGTGAGGCAGCCCTTCAGGGAAGGTAGACAGGACCCTGGGCACAGAGGTATGGCCACATGAGCTGAACTGAATAACTTCAGGCGCTTCCCTGCACACCTCTCTGGGCCTCAGTCCCCCTAGCTGGAAAGAGGGAGGTTAGCCCAGATTACCCGAGGGCTCTCCCAGCTGTTGGAGATCATAGCACTTGGCTCCAAAACACCTTAGGAGCCTCACACAGACACCCCCAGCCTCTCTCCCACTCTTCTGCATGTCCATCCACCTCAAGGTCTGTCTGAGCCTGCAAGCTCCTGGCCCAGGCCCTCTCCAGTCCACATCCCAAATACCCAGCTCTCCAGAGGCTTTGGGGCCTGGGCCTGGCACCCACCTCATCCGCCGCCTCCAGCTTGGGGTCAAACTGGCAGAAGATCTGCTCCAGGTCCTTGCGGATGACGTTGGCCAGCACGTTCAGCCTGCCCCTGGAGCCAGAGGGGGCAGGGCTCTTACCATGCTCCCTGCCCACCTGGGACCTATCAGAGTTAGCATGGGGGCTGGAAGGCCCCACCCTCTCATCCCGCCTCAATCTACAAGGTGTGTGAGTGGGTCCAGCTGGCCGGCCCCCCTGGGCAGGCAGGCATCCACCCCTACAACTCAGATTCAGGAGGCCCTCGCGAGCAGGGAGCCACCCAGCCTCATGGCAGGGTGTCTACTCACCCCTCTCCCCAACCAAAAGTTGAGCCCAACCCAGCACCTTGACCCCAAGCTGCTAACGAATCACAGCTGCTCACACATGGCTCCCCACCCCAGCCCAGTGATATGGAAGTGATAAGGAGAGGGAAGAGGGGACTGGACTGCCCCTAAGATCAGGAGTCACCAGAGGACCTGTCCAGAGGAGCTGAGTGAGGACTGAGGGGTGGGGGGAGGAAAGCAGCCAGGCCCAGGGATTCTCCAGTCCAGCCTGAACTTCCCATCGGGGCAATCTATTCATGGGTGGGCACCAGCCTGATGGGGGCACAGGACGTGACTCCAAATCCGCTCCCCATAGACTACCAGCGGACGCAGGCCCCAGGCCTGCTCACACCCTGACCTCCAGCCCTGCACGGCCCAGTGACAGAAGGGCAGCGCTCTTCCAGCGGGCCCCTCTCCTGCTCTGCGGTGGTGGCAGGGCTGTGGGATCACAGGAGCCGTATGAACAACCCTCAGCCCCTCTGGGCAAAGCCTCCGGCCTCAAAGGCCCCTCCCCAAATACGGAGGCCTGGCCGAGGGCAGCCCTTGACTCTGGAGCCCTCCTCAGGCCAGGAGCCTGGCCAGCACCACCACCCAGTCCCAGAGCTGCCTAATGGCCCAGCACCATCCTCTCCCACAGTTCTACTGAAGCCACGTATGCCCCTGCCTCCTCAGACCACGGGGCCAGCTCTGCACGACCCTCTGACCAGACACCAAGCATTTCTGGGACCCCCAGAGCGCAGAGCCTGTGTGGCAAAGCTCGGGCTCCCGGGAGGCCAGCCCACAGGGTGGGGATGCCCCTGGTGCTGATGCAGTCCGGGGCTGGCCCACCTGTGAGCAGCTGGAAACAGGCACAGGAAATGCAGGGGCTTTGCCCCCCAAACTGCTCAGCAGTCTTCTTCCAGCCCATTTAGCAGGACCCCTGGCCACCTTGGCCATATTCCTTGTTAGCCCACAGGCTCCAGCTCAGAGGTAACTGCCCAGTGGCCAGACCATCCTTCCAAGTCTTTATCAAAGTCACAGGAAATGTGTGGCCAGCTTGCAGCCGGGGAAAGAGACCCTCGGCTCACCTCCAGAGACCTCCCACCAGGGGATGCGAACCTGAGGCCACCTGCCCAGGCTCTGCCCTCACTTCCCTGGGATGTGCCCCTCCACATCCCCTTGTCCACAGGAACCTCAAGTAGCATGATATACCCCTCTTCTGTAACCTCAATACTCCTGGGGACAACAGCAACATGGTGAGAGAGAAACAGTTTAAGAGAGCCTGGTTCCATGTGGCTTTGGCCACGTGCTTTCTGTGATGAGCAGCCCAGGGCCCAGGGACTCTGATAACTTTCTAGACCACTTTGCCTCTATCCCCAGGTCCCACCAACACCCCTGCTCTGATTTTCAAAGCCTCCTATCCACCTCAGCTTGCTGGGCCTGGAGGAGAAGGGCACACCTGTGTGGCATCCCCAGGATGACATTCTCGATCCCCATCTCGCTGGATTTGTCGATGATGGTCTTGAGGGCAGGAATCATGACCTCACAGCCCTCCAGGCCAAACCGCTTCTCCGAGGACCACTTCCGGGCCAGGAAATCTTCAAACCTGCTTGGGAGAGATGGGGAAGGGTGGAGAGGCTGGGCTCCTGGGGGCTGTTCATGAGGGCTTGGAGCAGGATGCCAGGACACAGGAAGCTGCAAAGCCACCTCCCTCTGCGCAGTCCAGGACCTGGCACAGACACCATGGTGCTCCTACCAGCAAGCAGCATAGGTCGGCGGGGAGGCTGAGGGTCCTCCCAACTTCAACAGACCTCTGGCTCCATCCATTCCCAGTTACCACCCTCTCTTCCCCTTCCAGTCACACTGCTCCAACTAGCCATTCCCCTGCTCCCAGACCACTGCCCTCCAGCACACACGTGCCCTGGGGCTCTCTCATCATGCCCCAAAGATGCCTCACAGCTCAACTCAAATTCCAGCCCACACGTCACTGCTCAGGGAGCCACTTTACTCCCAGCAGCTGGGCCAGGGGCTCCTCCAGGCCCCCGCAGCCCTGGGCAGACCCAGCTTCAGAGAAGTTCAGGGGCAGAGCCAGGCAGTGCCCCGCCTGCAGGAAGGCGCTGCTACACTCATTCCACACAGGGACATCTTTCTGCCACTTCCACCCTCATTCGGTGTCATGTTCTCCTGGAGCACCATCCAGCCCTGCCTTCCCTTACCAGGCACCCTCCTAGCTTCTTAGCCAGGGCCTGGGACATTTCATACAGCCCTGGAGCAGGCCCCCCAGCCACTCAGGCTGCCCGGGGTGGTGCTGGGAGCCTGACCTCATAGAGCGCACCAGCCGGGCCAGCAGGGTCCGCTTCTCCTCACTGGAGAACTGCATCACGCCAGGGGTCTCGAATTTCTGCCGGATCCACTGACACTGCTCCACGTCATTGATGAACATGAACTCCAGACCAATGTGCTGGCAGTATGTGTTCTGGGGGAAAGGGGAGCACTCCACGAGGAGCCAAGAAGAAGACCAACCGCCTTGGGATCTGGAACAGAAAAGGCAGTGCCCTCCCTCCCTCTATCGCACGCCAGAGCTTCATCAGCTATGCCCGACACACCTGCCTGTGCTCACCTCCAGGCGCCGAATGATCTCCCGCAGAGAAAGGGTGTTTTCAGAGCCTCCAATAAAGGTAGTTGTGGGCAGCTGGAACTCCTTATCCAGGTCAGCCTCCCGCAGGTCGTAGAAGGCTAGGAGGCACACATGGCAGAGCCCGGGCAGCAGAGAGGAGAGAGGGAGGTCAGGCCCAGGTGGAGCCCAGCTGTATCCCCAGACCTCCCAACAGTGCCCCCAGGACCCTCCCGCCATGTCTAGCCTAAAGCTCAAAGGCCCTCTGTCTGCAGGGCACAGGGCATGAGTCAGAGCCTAGCTTGCCGCCATAAGGGTGGGCCTGGACAGGTGTCTCAAGCTTGCTGAGCGTGGCACACCAGCTAGGGAAGACGGGGAGACCTCCCTTGCAGGGACACCATGCATAGCTGGGCAAGGGTCAGAAGAAAGCCTCCCAGGCTGCTTGCTGAAACCCAAGACCCAGAGGCACTGTAGTCTCAGAGCCCCTCACCGGGCACAGGCACCAGCTGGCTCTGGTGTCGCCAGGGCAACAGGAAAGGGTTCCGACTCACCCAATTTATCAATGGTGGTGATTAAGTCTGAGGGCACAAAGGAGTCCAGGTCTGCATCCAGAATGCCCAGGGGGTCCAGTTGGGCCACATGGTGGCCACGGATCTGGAGAAGGGGAAAAGGTCAGGGAGGAGCTGGAACACAGCTGGACAGCCCTCACCAAGACTGAGATTCTGGGCCCCGGCCCCTCAAGTCCCCCTTCAGAATTTCAAGTTTCCACATATCTCTAGCACCCAGCCACTGAATAGTTGCCTAGGAGACCCCACCATAGCCACTAAGGTGGCAGGAGCTCAATTCTGTTTCAAAGTACAACATGCAGCTTTCAAAAACAGGAAAGAATGCGTACACAAAAGTAGTTACTACAGTACTATTAGTAATTGCAAAATTCTAAAAACTTCCCAAATGTCCATCAACAGGAGACTGGCAAATGGATATGGGAAATCCACACAGGGAATACTACAGAGCTGCTAAAAGGAATGAGGAAAGTTCCTAACTGCTACTATGAGGTTGTCTCCACAAAATATTATTAAGCAAAAAAGCAAATTACAGAAAAGTGTGTGTGGTGAACTACCCAGTATCTAAGAAAGGGAAGAGAAAAGTAAATGCATGCATTTGCATATATTTGTATATATTTGCATGTCTACAAATAAATATATGCATTAGAAGAATATACAGTAAAATAAGAAAACTATAAAATAAGGAAAATTATTACCTATAGGGAAAGGACAAAATAGGGCAGAGCAGCAGGGCTAGAAGCTAGACTTTTAAGAATATATCTTGCATTGACGATTTGACTTTGGAATCTTATAAATATTTTATATCACTATAAAATAAAATTAAGTTTTAAAAATTGAAAGTAAGACAAAACAAATGAATTAATGCATCCATTTGGTGGCATAACTACAAAGAGAGGAACTATTCCAACTGACTAACAGAATATTCCCCAAAGACAAACAGAACTGCAGGAATAAAAAGATCATAAATTCATTTACAGTACCAATGAGCAGTGGTAGTACTAGAATTGTATTCTCAGACTGTCACGTGTGGATTGTGGGAAAATCAAGTAAGTCATTGTATTGCTGTCTTTGAAAACCTCTATTTTTGGTATCTTTAAAAGGAGATGGTGACATAAGACTGATGAGGTCAAGGACAAACACTAAGTCCTACATTTGATGTATATAGAAGCATCAGTATAAACCCATAAAGTATGGTATCTTAAAAAAAATACATATTTCCTGGCTCTAACCATCAAAAGAACCCAGAAGTCATGACCAAACCAATAGCAGTAAATACTCCCTCACTCCCTGGAGAACTGGCTGGACAGAAATGTGCGAGATGAGCTCAAAGCATCTTGTCCTACCAGATAGCAAAGGGGTGCTCAAACACTACTGGGGCTGGGAATAAGGACACATTTTGAGCAACAAAAAGGATAATATCTATAGCAGACTAAAACTCATTAAATATGTTTAAATTCATGCATTCATATCATACTATGAAAAAGAAGAAAAACCTTTATTGGCCATCTTTGGAGGATGCTAGGAAACCATGTCATAATTTTGAAAATCCAACAACAAAAGGAAAAGTCAAGCACTGATCCTGCCCTCCCTATACAATTTGTACCTCAGGATAAACAGAGCTGACAAAGGGAAGGTTCTCACAAGAGAAGTATTTCAGGTAATAAACAAAGAAAGAAAGAATTAGAATATCACCACTTTTACCACTCCCAATGACTTAATGTGTCCAGGAAATAATTATCTTTAGCTGCTAACTGATGAAGTGCCCATCACCACCAGGAAGCTGATTTTGCAACAACAGAAAAAATCAAATCTATGCTGGATCAAGCATCTAGATCTAACTACCAATTTACAGAAATTACATGGGGCAAAGGGACAGATGAAGTGACACCATGAGGATGCAATCAGCGAAATCCACACTCGAGAAAACGCTATAGGACAAGCAACCTGGTTTCTTATATACACACACAAACACACACACACACACACACACACACACACACAGAGCAAGAAACACAAAAAGAAATGGAGAGGAACCCGCAGAGTAGAGTACAAGAGGCTTGAAAAGCCATGTCAACATATCACAACCTGTGGCTTTATTTGGATCCTGATTCAAACAAGCAGTAAAAAGAAATCCTAGGACAAACAGGCAAACATGAATACCAGCTGGGTATTTGGTGACATTAAGGATTATTACTATTTTTAGGTGTGATAATACTATCACGGTATATTTGAATTTTTTTTTTTTTTTTTTCTGCGGTACGCAGGCCTCTCACTGTTGTGGCCTCTCCCGTTGCGGAGCACAGGCTCCGGATGCGCAGGCTCAGCGGCCACGGCTCACGGGCCCAGCCGCTCCGCGGCACGTGGGATCTTCCCGGACCGGGGCACGAAACCGTGTCCCCTGCGTCAGCAGGCGGACTCTCAACCACTGCACCACCAGGGAAGTCCATATTTGAATATTTTTAAAGGAGGCTTTACCTCTGGAAATACATGCTGAAACGTTCAATGAATGAAATGATATGAAGTCTGGGATTTGCTTCAAAATAATCAGTGGCTATGGGTGGAGCCGGAGGTGGGTAAGATGAATCAAGACTGGCCCTGTATTGATGGGGGTTCACTACATAATTCTTCTACCTATTATATGCTTGAAAACATGCATTAAGAAGCAGCCTGGGTTTTTTTTTTCAGTACTATGTGCAGATGGGTCAAACCAGAGCTCAGCCCCCAAGTGACTTGTGAGGGGCTACAGCCCACCCAGTAGGTGCTCACTACCAGGCAGATTTTTATCATGCAAGTATGGAGTAACATTCCTGAATCCGGAGACCATCCTGCTGGAAGGACCCTAGTGCTTTGGTCTTGGCCAGTGAAAGAACAAAGAGCTGCTGCAGAGCTGGGACTGTACTTAGAAGATAAGGCCTTCAGGCCATACTCTGAATGCTACCCTGTATTTCATACAGAGTTTTATGTTCCTTGTCCTTTTTCAAAGTCAACAGTCAGATCACTTTCTGCCTCTTTCAGCCAGCCAAGAAAAACATAATTACAATCACTGCTGTTTCCTCGCAGGTGGCCCACGATCCATGGGTCCTGAGGCCAGTGAGGGAGCCCAGTCCTGTGCACCTTTCCTCTTCCGCCCCAGCACACCTGGGCAGGCAGCTGCCATCCCATACAGAGTGCATCATTCAGAGGCAAGGTGCCATTTCCGTTTGCTAAGGCCTCCCTCTCCCCCGAGTTCCTGCAGCAGCTTGCTGCACCCTCCCACGGAGTCTCTACCAAGCACCGCAGGATGCCCCTACCCTTCCTTCTGCATGTCTTCAAGACAAGTTTCTCTTATGAAATACCTCCTGCCATTGATTCCCAGACAGATCCCAAATGATTACATTTTTATGGAGTGAACACCCAGTACAGCCCTCCGGTTAGTCCTGTTCGGTCAAGACCAAGAATAGGAAACATCATCAGGACTCTTTGACATAGCAAGGGCCCAGCCTGGGAACCCAGCAGAGGGGAGCCTAAGTCTCCAGGACAGAGTAGCTGATGGGGGAGAGCTGCTTAATGAACTATTCATTCATTCCACAAATACTAATTAAGCACCTGCTGGACATCAGCCCCTGTCCTCTTGGAATGCTCAGTCAAGAGAAAACAGACATTAACAAGGGGCAATCTACTCACCTTTCATTCAACACTCACTGAAGCTGATCACTCACTAAGTACTTCTCCAGGTTCTGGGGCAGAGTGGTGTGGGCCACAGATGAGAAAAACCACAAACAAACCACTTTGCACGGAAAATACAGGGGGTGGTAAGTGATGTGAATGGTAACGTGACAAAGAGCAGGAGGAGGGGCCAGAGCCACCAAGCTCCCTGAAGTGACGCTGGAGCTGAGCCAGTCTTCTTGCCGTCAGCACCTGGCCACACCCCAGGAGCCTGTACCCTCCCAGCCGCTCACCTGGTAGGCCCGGATCAGAGACTGCACAGCCAGGTGGTCCTCCACCAGCTTACTGGTCTTGGTCCGGCTCAACACTGCCGGCCTGCTCTCAGGGACAACAGAAAGGGGCCGGGGCTGAGCCGGGCCATAAGAGGCTTCCTCACTGGCTTTCCGGAAGAAGCTGTCCCAGGACTGGGCAGGGGCAGAAGAAAGAAAACAGCCAGGTTAGGGCCTGGGAGTAGCGCGGGGTGGCCCAGGCTGGGGCCCTAGGGGACATCAGTCTTCCTTCACCACCATAGCTCTCAGGGCCCTCCCAGGACCCTGCCAACAATACCCTTCTCAATCAGCCCAGGGCCCCCACCCAAATTCTGGATCTCTCCAGGACCCAGCTTGGTAGTGGGTGGGGGAGGTTATAAGGTGTGATCAAGGGGCTTTATGTATGAAACGGGCTTCTATCCATAGGCAAAACATGCCCTCACACACTGTGGGTTGGAGGCAGCTCTGTGGAGGGTAAGGGCAGGCAGGCCCTCAACATTTCCAATGCATGTATCTTTTGAACCAGCAATTCCACTGCCAGCAATTTATTCTACAGATGTACTTGGACAGGTGTGCCTACATGTACAAGGATGTTCCCTGCAGGAGACTTTATAAAAATGACAACGTAAAAACAATCTAAGCAGTGATCAATAGGAAACTGGTTAAATAAATGATGGTAAATTTAGATTCTGGAAAATTATGTAGTCTTTTTTTAAAAAGACACATTTATTATTGTGGATGTGGAATATTGCCAAGATATGTTGTAAAGTGAACACAGCAGAAGAGGATGTATGCTTTGCTACTATTCGTGCAGAAACAAAAGCAGATGGGCACATGCACCAGTACCTCCACGTTCTAGCAGAACACATACAAAAGTGCTTTCCTCTATGCCCTCTCATACAGTACTGGTGGGAGAATAAGGTGGTACAAGCCGTGTGGAAAGCAATTTGGCAACACCCATCAAAATTATGTACACAGATGCCCTCTAACCCAACAATTCCACTTTGGGGAATTTATGCCACAGTTAGCTGCACACGTGCAGGATGATGAACGTACAAGATGATGTAGTACAGCACCGGTCATGACAGTCAGAGACTGGAAACGAGCCAGATGCCTGTCCCTGGGGATGGATGTAGAACATCCATCCAAACAGTGGAATACTATACAGCTGGGAAAAAGAAAAATGAGGCTCTTGAGGTACTGACATGGAAAATTTTGGAGATGTATGCTGAGTGAAAAAAGCCTGGGGCAAAAGAGTGGATGTTACATGTTACTTTTTGTGTAAAGGGGGAGAATCCAGAGTTATGTTTGCAATAAGTTTATCTGAATGGATACAGAAGAAATTAAGAATAGACTGGGGAACAGACAGGTAGGAGCTGAGCAGATACAGGATGGAATGGGAGGAAGGCTTTTCACTGTAGAACTTAATACTTTTTGTTTTTGGATCATGTGAACATATTACTTTCCTCTGAGGCATGTGAGTGAAGGAAAGAGAGCAGCTACGCTTTTCACTTTTGTCCTGCCATCTGATTTTGATTTTATTTTTTTTTAACCATCAGTGGGTACTTATTTTATCAGCTTACTATATATGTAAACACTTATGCTCCAAACTATATAACAAGAGGCCATCTGGAGACGGCACTGCATGACAAAGCGGGCAGGGACAGGCCTCAGACCAGGTGTGACTGAGCAGGGCATTATCAGGGCTTCTCAAGACAGACCACCGCCCACTGGCTGGTCCAGCAACAGGACAGCAATGGACTTTCCTCACCCGATATGAGGACCAAGCTCTTTCACAAAGATGATGGAGGACCTGAGAGACAAAGAAACCTGCCCGGGGTCACACAGCAGGCAAGTTGCTTCTCCCCACTCCCCTCTCCACAGCCCAGCCCCAGGACCTTCTCTCCTGCACAGAGGGCAGGGTTGGGGTGCCAACCTTGTGGACACTCTGGGGGTTTTCCAACCAGGCGAAGTACATCTCCTCCATGTAACTGGAGCCGCCTCCAACTTTGCTGCTTGGGAAGGTGGCCGGTGGCCCAGACGACCTGCTGTACCAGCTGAACCTTTGGACGCCATGTGCGGCCAGGAGCCTCGAGGCCTGTGCCCCAAGCCAGGATGGCAGCAGCCTCAGCTGACTCATTCTGGACACAGGCAACAAGGGAGAGACATAAACCACAGGACTGGGATGGAAGGAAGGAGGCTCTGGCAGCCACTCATCCACTCATATGGCATTTGCTGGGCCTACTGGGCAGGTGGCCCTGGGCTAGGCAGTGACGAGACAGAGGTGAGAGGGACAGTCAGCCAGGCCTCCTGAACACCCCGGAACTCAGGAAGCGGAGTCCTCCAGGGACTGGGTGCTCCATGCCCGGTCAGGAAAAGGCCAGAAGCAAGACATCTGGCTGAGCTGTACTATCTCGAGGCCCATGGCACTGCTGGGTCTCTAGTCGTTGTGACCAAAAGGGACCAGTGACTTCCCCTGACTGCAGTATAGGCCCAGCATGTCCTCCCAGGCCAGAAGGCCAATGACACGGGCCTCAATGGCCCCACTTCACATCGGGGACGACTGAGGCTCAGAGAAGGGAAGGGCACTGGGGGACAGTGGAGGGCAGACCAGAGGCAGGCGCCTTGCCCAGCCAAGCTCCCAGTTGCAGCTGCCCTCTTTGGCTCCCATACCCTGCCTAGAGCTTACACTCAGGACAGCTAACAGCTCAGGGGGTACATTCAGGCTGGAAGCCCACTCAGGGTGGAGAGGAAAAAGAACCTGGAGCTCATCTCACCCCCGCAATCTCATCTGCTCTTTCCCAGGGAAAATGCTCGAACAACGGGCTTTCAGGAATCCGCGTGTACATATGGGGAGGTGGGGGGGGAGGGGCTTCCTCTTCCCCCCAGAAGACAGAGGTTCTCGGATAAGAGGCTCCTCTTAGAACCTCTGTTCCTCTACATCACCCCCCAACACAACTGTAAGCAGAGCCCCCTCCTCTTCCACAGCATTGCCTGGGCACAGACGGCTCCCCCTGAATACTTGCTAACACCCTTCTGCCCAGAGAATCCCAGCCTGTGAGTAGGGTGCAGCACCAGGGCCACCCCACCGGGGGCCATGCAGGCAGGAGGGCCTGCTTCCCCCCACATAACTCAGTCCCAGAAAGTGTGCCTTTCTGCCTGGGCCTGGGCCTGGCCCTGAGTCAATGCTCCTGGGGCCAGATGTGCCCAGCTCACAGGGCACACACCCCGCCCCAGCTCAAACAAGTCACCAGAACCAGCTGGCTGGACCTTCTATTCGACAAGGGGTCAGGCCCCAAGGCAGGGCATGGCACAGCCCTCCTAGCCCACGTGCTCCCTCTTTCCCTCCAAACTTACATGAGGCAAAGGGCAGGGAGGCGGTCTTCTTGAGCGAGGGACAGTGGGCTCCTCAGGGCAACCAGCAGCAAGTCTGAACAGAGGAAAATTAAAAAGCAAAAATATACTGCACTGCAGGGAGGAAGGAGGTGGGTTCAGCTGGAACCTGAGCCTCAAGTGCCCCAAGCTTCCTATCCACATGCTCAGCTGCATGTCCTGCCAGCCAGTGACACCAGGCCCTACTGAGGGCTGCTAGGGGCTGGCTCTTCCTGGAGTGGCACCTCTCCAGGTGCTGGGTGGGGACTCAAGGCCTGAGTTCTGGGGTCAGAGGGCCGGGGTCCCAACCCCTGCTCTCCCTCTGATGGTCCCTGAGACCTGGGCAAATACAGGCTTGCTGCCCCGGCCCAGATGGCCATAGGGCCCAGGAGCTACTGGCCTGGAATGTGAGAAGAATCTAAACAACCCAATGGGGAAACTCTAACATCCCCATCCTAAGGCAAAGAAAAGCAGACACCAAGATCATCCATTGAGGGAATAAAAATAGGAGCACAATTAGTCAGCACTGATTCGGGGGCAGGCACTGTGCTCATCTAACCCTCTCAACGATCTCAAGACGTGGGCACTTGGATTAGCCCCATTTTACAAATAGGGAAACTGAGGCACAGAGAGGCTAAGCTGGTGAGTGGTAGGGCTCTGTGGTTTCGGAGCCTGTGCCCTCCTCACTGCAGAGTCATGATGTAAACACAGATTTCTCTTAATGCTAATGCTCCTTCCAACGGCTGCAGCCAGAGCTGCTCTCTCTGCTGGCACCCACCCCCACAGGGGAATGGGATGGCTCGGGGGGTAGTGACAAGCCTGGCTGTGTCCAGCCTGGCCCAGTGCAGGAACACTGTGTTTCACAAACATTGAATAATCTGGGCAGCCGCTGGACACTGCTGTGGCCTTCACCCGGCCTGACAGAAGGACAGCCAGCCAGCCACCCCTGCCCCAATCCCAGCAGGGCCTAAGGACTCAGGAGCCCTAGAGGGCTGGGGACAGAGTCAACCTCAGTATCTGGAGCCAAAGCCCAAGCCTGCCCTGCCAGGTCCTGCCCACACAGGTGAAAGGGAAGAGTTAGGGTCAGGCACTGTGCACACCCCCTGACCAGCCCAGCCCACCCTGGACTAACAGGCAGGTTGCTCTGGGCAGCTCTTGGTGGCCTCCCCTCTACGGATAAAGTCAGTACCATCCCCACCGCCACCCTCAGAAGCATAACGACGACAGACATCCCTGGCCACTAAGCCTCCCGCACGCAAGGCCCTATCTGGGCTGCTCTGCAATATGCCCACTGTAGAGATCCCAAGACCTTGAAGCTGGGCAGCAGCAGAGCCTGGACTCACACTCCTGCAGGCCTACGATGGCCCCACATTCTGGGAATTGGGTGGGCTTTTCTCAGGAATATACCCCACCTCTAGTTTACTGAACCCAAGAGGTGGCCACGGAAGCAGACTCCGAGGTAGGAAGCAGGGTAGGGAGGGGGTGTGCTTATTTCCTTGGCAGAGATGGAGGGTCTGAGCTAAAGGCCAGAGGTGGGAAAAGCACAAAGGTAAAAGGGGCCTATTCCAATATGCTACAGGATATATGGGCAGGGGGTGCAGGGATGGGTTAGGGTCCATGGTGGAGGGGCATCATGGCACCCTGCTGGGACCTCAGGGTCACCCCGTTCCCGCAGATTTCCCTGAGGGAAGGAGAAGCACTTCCCAGGCTGGCTGCCACCTCAGGTCAGTCTTGCCTCCCTCAGGGCCTCAGTCTCCCCATCTGTGAGCGGAAACCCGGTTAAAACCGTCTGTAAAGGCCCTGCCCCCTGCCCCCACTACGAGGTCCTGAGACTTCGAAGCTGCCTGCCTGTCCCACCAAGCACATAACGCTAGACCATCCCCATCCCCAGCGCTGCCCTCCGCAGCCAGGGCTCCTTGAGAAGGCGAAGAGCAGCAGGCCCCTCCCCAGGCCACGAAAGGCGTGGACAGTCTGTAATCTTTGGGCTGGAGAACCCACGCTGATGCCTGAAACCCCACCGTTAAAAGCTTCGCTCCCTTACGCAAAACACTTCACAAGAACTGCACTCGCAGGGTCGGATGCGCGCGAAGGGCTGAGGGTCCTTGGGGACGCCTCGGCCAAACAAAGGCGAAGCCAAGGTCACGCTCACTCCCCCTCCCACCTCCCGGGCCAGGCTTAGGGCTGCGGGCTGCGGCGCCCCGGGACCCAGGAGACTGGAGCAAAAGGGCCTCCCGCGACACAGCTGGAGAGGAGGAGGCGCAGGGACCCGGAAGGGAGGGGCCGCCGCGCTCACCGGGCCAGTGGGGGTCGGCGCGGCAGTGAGGTCCAGAGGCTGCAGGTCAGGGGAGGCGAGCAGCTGGTGCGCGACTAGCTGTACCAATTATCTGGGTCACGTGACGTGGCGGCGCCAGCAGCCAGCGAGCGAGCGCCGGGGAGACTCCGCGCGCCGTGACGTCTCTGAGGACGCCCCGCCCAGCCCTGCCCCGTTGGCGCTGTCCGCGGTGCTGAAGGCCCAGGGATGAGGGTTCCCGGGCCTGGAAGAGTGAAGATCCTGCAGACCGCAAGGAGAGATGACCCCATCTGTCTGGGAAACCTGGCACGCTGCTGAGCCCCTGAACCCCGGGGTCCTCGTCCAAACACTAAGGAGAGTGAACCAGAAAAAAAAAAAAAAGCGGCCGTTTGTGTGTATGGAAGGATAGTTTCCGTTTTACAGACGGTAAACAGTATTTACAGATACTATTAAAAATCCCAGTCTTGGGGCTATCTTGAAGAAAAGATGAGATAATGCATATTAAGTGCTTATCACAAAACCTGATACACATTTTACCCATTCATTGTCCAAATTATGGAGACCTGCCTTTACCTCCTTGTTGCTGCAATGAACACCTTCCTATACATTCCCTTAAGAACCTATGTGGAATTTTTTCTGGAATATATAACAGGGTGCTGAATTGCTGGGTCATGGGTTTGTGTATACTTAACTTGACTCAGCAGTGTTACATTGCTTCTTGATTCTCCATTCCCATAAACAGTGCAAGAGAATTTTTAAATCTTCATATCCCAGCCAACTCTTGGCAGTGTCTGGTCATGTAATTTTTGCCAGAATAACAGATGCAATGTCATATCATTGTTTTAATCCACGTTTCTCTGCTTATCAATGATTTGTATCTCATGTTGTTTGTTAGTTTGGGGGGCTTCCTGCTGCACTTGTCTTGCATTTTTCTCTTGTTTATATACAAGAGTTCCTGGAAGAGGAACATATACATCCGAGGTTCAAACCGCCATCTACTTTCCCATGGATTACTGCAACAGCCCCAACCAGCCTTCTTGCTTCCACATTTGCACCCCTGAATTTTAATCTCAACACACTAGAGTTTTCCTTGTAGAACACCAATTCAAATCATGTTGCCCCTCTGTTCAAAACCCTGAAATGACTTCACTCAAATTAAAAGGCAAAATCCTAACATTTGCTTCTAAGGCTCATTATCTCATTTCAAATATTTCGTGCATTCTACCACGCCTCATGAAGAAAATCAGAAAACTAAAAGAAATATGTAACGTAATACTCTTGGCGTTAATTAAAAGCACTGGCCCATACAACTACAACATACATTTCACAAGAACTCATTCAAATACATATTGAACACATTCAAATACATATCAAACACATTAATATGGTTGCCTAGGGGAGGGGATTGAGGGATGCAGATATGGGGTAATTAAATGATTGTCCATACCAATACTGATAGGGTGCCAGAATGGACTAATATAATTAACTTTATCCTGCACCTAAAGCCCCCCCCTCCAAAAGAATTGTTTATTTAGAGATATTTTAAAGTCCATATGGCCAAGGACCATATCTGTTTTCTATTGTATCCCCAGCACTTAGCATAGTGCCCAACTCATAGCATGTTTTCAGTAAATATTTGTTGAATGAAGGAGTAAGTGGACACTGAACTTGGACCCTGAAGGATAAGTAAGAGTTTCTCTGATGCAGAAGGGCTGGGTTCATTGGGAGTTCTTTGATTAAAAGCACCAGAAAATTATCTGGCTGGCTTAAGAAAAAGGAATTGATGGGAAGGTTGTCTAAAGGACAACTCAGAATCACAGGAAAACTGGAGAATTAGTCTCAGGGAGCAGGGCTGAGCCAGAAATGGACTGACTCTTCAAGGCTCTTATGATGTTCAAGATTCAAATTCCAAGAAGAGAGATGCTAAATGATCTGGCTTGGCCTGAAGCAGGGAAGAGGGGACCTGGAGCCACCCATATGAAACACACATGGATTGAGAAGAACAGCAGATGGTTTATGGGAGGCAGGTAGCACAAGAAATAGGAGTGGATGCTGGGAAAGAACAAATCAGCACACGTGCACAGAAGACCTCCAGCAGGAAAGCACCATATGCAAAAGCAGAGTTGGATGAAGGGCCAGAGGAATGGTAACTGCCTGGATGCACATAGGGAACTGGTGGCCTAGGCCAGGTGACACTGGGCTTTGTCTACCATGTCAAGGGGTTTGGACTCTATTTAGTAGGGTATTGGATACCAGCAAGATTTTAAGCTGTGAGGGACATGGTCAGATTTGCTTTTTAGAAAGATTTCTGTGGCACCTGGAGGGAAGATGGAGTAGTAAAAGGTGAGAGCAAAAATATATCTAGGTGAGAGGCAATAATGCACTGGCTGGCAGTAGAGGTAGAGAGTGAGGGACAGATTTAAGAGACATTTAGGAGTCAGCTCCATCGGGTTTAATGGTTGACCAGGCATGAGTGGTGGGCGCAACGATAACTCACAGATTTCTGGCTTTAGTGACTGTGGGGACAGTGGAACCTCTCAGTGAGCTGCAAAACAGGAGATGCAGGTTGGGAAGAACAACAGAAAAAGTATACAAGTTGGAGCCACCAATGAGCCACTTAAGAAAGATGAAGAGTATGACACGGAACAGCAGGCAGGAACAAAACCCTAGCAAATCAATAGGCTTCAGAACCTCCCATTTGCCCACAGTGGTCTTCAGAGTCACGAGAGGAAACACAGAGCCATGGAGAGAGACTCACACCATGGAGGGAAGCTGAGTCGCTGAAGGGGCTGGGCGGGGCAGTGAACGGAAGCAGCTGCTGTAGGAGCCTTTTAGCCTAATTGATGCTCTGCTAATTACATTGATTAAAGCAAACATTTGGGGCAATTAAGACTCCCATGAGGATGTCTGCCATTCTCAGAAGACTGAGAAGCCTCGAGGCATGGCTATGGGCTCTGCAAAGATCTTCAGAAGCAGAAACCTTCCTTTTCTTCTCTCTCTGACAGAACATGCATGCAAGTTTGTATTTATTCTGGTTGTATAGACTTTAGAATTTAAATAATACAGAAGGATACAGAGCAAAATGTGAAAATCTCCCTTCCACCTGCCTCACCTTCACCTTTCTCCCCCTCCAGAAATTACTGGCCACAGCTGGGTGAACATCTTTACAAAACTGTCTATGTATTTATTTAAGTCTACTTGTACAAATACACATTTATAAAAACATAAAATGCATCCACTAGACTGTAGTTCTGCAATTTGCTTCCTTTTTTCAATTGTCTTAAAGATCTTTATTTTAATTTCAGTACATGTAGGATCACCTATTTCTTAATGGGTATATTGCATTCATTGTAGGGGTGTGTAATTATTATATTTAACTTCTTTTGCATTGAACAGACATTTACAGCAAAAAAAAAAAAAGTCCTTCCACATATATCCTTTAGCACGTGTGCAACTATTTTGGCAATACTGATTCCTAGAAGAAGTGTAACACTGGGTTAAAGGGAAATGGATGTTTTAATTTTTAAAAGCTACTGTCTTCAGTAAGACCATTCCAATATGTGTCTCCATTAACATTTGAGAGTTCCCACTTTCTTACATCCTTGCCAAGACTTGTTATTATCAGTCTTTTTAATTTGTGCCACTATGATAGATGAAAAACAACTGTTTAGTTTGTATAAAACTGGTAAGTGCAGTTGAGAACCTTTTAATGTTTATTTTGTATTCCTCTTCTGTGAATTGCCTAATCATTTTCTTTGTGCATTTTTCTATTGGGTTGTTTTCATCTTTCTTATTGATTCATCTAAACTCTGTATATATTCTGGATAAGAATACTTTGGTATGTCATAAATACTGAAAATATTTATTTCCCCCAGTCTGTCACTTGTCTTTTAACTTTGTTTATAGATGTTTTAGCCATATGGTAATTAACACTTGTTATGGGCTGAATTGTGTCTCCCACCACCAAATTCATATGCTGAAGTTCTAACGCCCAGTACTCAGAATCATAATAATCATATTTGGAGATAAGATCTTTAAAGATCTTAATTAAGTTAAAATGAGGTTATTAAGTTAAAATGAGGTAGTTAGGGTGGGTATTATAAGTACTTATAAGAAAAGAAATTTGGACACAGACATCTTTACACACAGAGGTAAGACCATGTGAAAACTGAGGGAGAACGTGGCCATCTGCAAGCCAAGGAGAGAGGCCTCAGAAAAAACCAACCCTGATGACACCTTGATCTTAGACTTCTGGCCTCCAGAACTGTGAGAAAATTAATTTCTGTTGTTTAAGCCCCCCTGTCTGTGGTACTTTGTTACGGTGACCTTAGAAATGAATACAGTGCTCTTGTTGGAGGCTCCATTCTTTAATTTGAGAACTACTCAGGACTCCAGGGTTTTCCCTCAATTCCAGCTTCTCCTGGGTCAGGGCTCCTTCTGTCCCCAGGTGGGGTAGGGATGGCCCCATTTTACCCTCTCATACAGCTCCTCGCTAAAGTCTGCTTACAGTTGACAAGTACATTTCTTTTGTTCTTTCCTCTCCCATTTCATTATATTATTATTTTGAAGAGAGATACCGAAAGGACAGATCATCACTCAGAGGCAAATACTCTTAGCTTTGGGGTAGATTTAATCTTCACTTTTAAAAATACAAACACAGTTGAGATAATATGTTATTTACTTAACAGGACAACTTAAGCATTTCCCATGTTTTAAAATATTTATAAACCTGGTTTTAATGACTGCAAGTATATAATGATATATTTTCTTGGGTGTTTCCTCTAGCACGATTTTTTTTCCAACACAAGCCATTCTCTGTCTGTGGCCTCTGACCAGACTTCACACTGCTCGCTTTGTTCCCACCATGATTATTGCTCCCACCACAGTGCCAGGTTATGTGCTAAGCACCTAACAGGTGTCATCCCATATATTCTTTTTTTTTTAAATTTATTTATTGTTTTTTGGCTGCGTTGGGTCTTTGTTGCTGAGCACGGGCTTTCTCTAGTTGCGGCGAGCGAGGGCTACTCTTCGTTGTGGTGCGTGGGCTTCTCATTGCAGTGGCTTCTCTTGTTGCAGAGCATGGGCTCTAGGTGGCGCGTGGGCTTCAGTAGTTGTGGCATGTGGGCTCAGTAGCTGTGGCTCACGGGCTTAGTTGCTCCGTGGCATGTGGGATCTTCCTGGACCAGGGCTCAAACCCGTGTCCCCTGCATTGGCAGGTGAATTCTCAACCACTGTGCCACCAGGAAAGCCCCATCCCATATATTCTTTACAACAACTGAGAGATGAGGAAACTGCCACTTGCAGCGGTCACTTATAGACGTAGATGGAGGCAGAGTAACACTCTGTGTATCAATAAAGAAATATCAGTGTAGAACTCTGCGATTTCCAGCTCCAGTCCCAACACTCGTTCAGTGGAACTAAAAGCTGAACACTGATTGAGGTGCTGATATTTGCACAGGGTCACAGAACACAGCCAGATGAAGAAGTCTTGTTACCCAAAAACTGGGTTTGCCTCTTGGTGGATGTGGAGCCAAAAGACACAGCCAAGCCAAAGAGCAGGGGAAGGAAGGATTTTATTACTTGTAATGAGTAAGAAGAACTCCAGGGATATTTGCCAAAGCTATGTCTCCCAGGATAGCAAAACTGGGGAAGATTTAAGCTAGGGGGGCACACATATTCATGAAGGGGATTGAGCAGAGGAGAATTCGGCATAGAATTGAGGCAAAGTTTAACAGAGTCTGGGCTCTAGTTGATTGACATCACGAGGGTCAGCAAAAGCCAGCATCGTCATTCCTTAGGGTCTAGTTATTCTGCTGGTTGAGTGCTTGAGGGGGTTTGGATCCTTGGATCCTGCAAAATAGCTCAAGGATGTGCTTCAGGCTAATCTTTACCTTTGAAACAGAACTGGGAGCCTTTACAACTGATTTATTGTCTCCAATATGGTTAAGTTATTTCCCTGGTCTGGTAATAGCTGCTTATTCTTGCATTCTTTGTTCCTTTAAAATCATTAAATACCGAGGCCTATTCTTTTGCAAGGGCAAGGTTGTGGCCAGGCTTAGATCACAAAATGGCTTGGGCCTAAAACAGCTACTCTTATGTCAAGAAAGCCATGCCTGGTTCTTTTCCTCCAGGGACCTCCCTACCCTATCCGGCTACAGCCTGGCCTCCTGTCTCTTCACCCTGGCTCTTTCCATGCCCCAGGCTGCCCTCTCACATGCTTCACACCCTCTCCTAGAGAGGGCACAACCCAGGAGGCCCCAGCTCCCAAGGACTTCTCCAGACAAGCCTCTACCCCAGGGAAGTTCAACTTCCCACCTTCTCCAAACTCTCTCCTTTTGGCGCTTGGTGGGTGGTGAACTATAGATGAAAGCTTCATTAATTCAAGTTCCAATAGCTCAGAATCAGTGTAGGATCATTCATTCTCAAGATACATTCATATTAACCTTAACAATCTATGTACATGTTTTTTTTTCTTGTACATGGTTGTTTTATAGCAAACTTATTAAAATCAGTGATATGGAAAAGGAACACTTTAAATTTCTTATTTTGAGATAATTCTATATTCATTTGCAGTTGTAAGAAATAACACAGAGAGATACTGTGTACTCCACCCAGTTTCCCCCAGTGGTAACATCTTGCAAACCAATATCATAACCAGGGTATCAACATCTTCTATCAATACAGCCAATATATAGATCATTTCTATCACCAGGAGAATCCCTTATGTTACCCTTTTACAGCCACATTCGGTGTTGTCACTTTTTTTTTTTTGAAATTTTAGTCTTTCTGATAGGTTTCTAGTGATATCTCATTATGGTTTTATTTTGCATTTCTCTGACAGCTAATGAACATCTATCTTTTCATGTGCTTGTTTCCATCTGTGTAGCTTCTTCAGTGAAATGTTCATGTCTTAAAGCCCCTTTCTAATTGAATTGCTTTTTTTTTTTAACTGTTGAGTTTTGAGAGTTCTTTATATATTCTAGATACTAGTCCTTGAGCATATGTGGTATGCAAATATTTTCTCCCAGTCTGTAGTTTCTTTTCATCCTCAAAACAGGATCTTACATTGAACTAAAGTTTTCAATTCTGATGAAGTCCAATTTATTAATTTTTCATTTATGGCTTGTGCTTTGGTTTTCAGTCTAAGAACTTTTTGCCTAGCCCTAGATCCTGAAGATTTTCTCCTCTATATTTTTTTCAGAGTTTTTGGGTTTTACATTTTACATTTAAGCCCATCATCCATTTTGAGTTAATTTTTGTTTAAGGGGTGAAACTTAGGTTGAGCTTCATTTTTTTTTTGCCTACAGATGCCCAATTGCTCCTGCACTATTTGTTGAAAAGGCTATCCTCCCTCTATTGAATTGATTCTATACCTTTGTCCAAACTCAGTCAGGCAAGTTTGTATGGCTCTATCCCTGGGCTGTGCTTTATTGAGATATAATTCCCATACCAGACAACTCACCCGTTTAAAATGTACCATTCAATGGTTTTTAGTAAATTCCCAGAGTTGTGCAAACCATCACCACAATCAATTTTGGAACATTTCATCACCCCCAAAAGAAACCAAAAGGGGAACTTTTACCACCTTAAGAAAAACAAATGGTTCCAAGACCTATGGCTTTTAAAAAATTGTCTGTGGGTTCTCTAAAGTGGAGAACAGGCCTCCTCTGATAAGCCGGTGACGTGTCAGTAGCCTGATCATAGGTCTGGAGGGGTCAGCTCCACCGGAAGCACTTCGACAAGCTCCCCAAGTCACAGCTGCCTCCCACAGACCTTACTTGCTCCCAGCATTGGGACTTGGCTGCCAACTCCCAGAGGACAGGCCAGAGTTTTCATCCTGGGAAGATGGACCTGCTGCTGCCAAGCTTCTGCATTACCACCAGTTCCTCCTCCAGCTGGCCCTTTACACTCCGACCCAGGCCAGGTGGCGCGGGCACAAAGACTGGGGTGATTTGGGCTTTTGTTTGGAGCAGCTGGATGCAGATGCAAGTTCAGTCCCCAAACCCACGCAGGCTCTTCCCAGCAGCATCGGAAGCCCCCCTCCTCCCAGAGCAAGCCCCCGGGAGATCACAGCCTGGCTATTGGAAGGACAGAAACATCCATTCCAGGCATTGCTATCCCTCCAGGCATTGCTATCCCTCCAGGCTCTGACACCTGCCGCTGGGCCTGGCTCAGGCACACCTGTCCGGTCACCTCACAGGCAGCACCTCAGGTCCCTCTGTCCCAGCTCTCCGGGTCTGATGAGCTTCTGCTCCTCAGGGTCCTTTTCGGCAAGGTCCTGCGACAGTCCCCTCCTGGGGGGGGGGGGGGTCCAGAGGGCGTGGGGAGCCTGTGCCGACAGCTGGGCTCCCAGCCCACCCACTCATCATCACCACCACACCTGCCATACTGGGTGTAGACTCCGCCTGGTAGGCCTCTGGCAGGCAAACCACAGTCTTTCCGGATGACCTCAGGGACGCCGCTTGCGTGCTGGCCTTCGGTGGGCCAGCCGATATCAGTCGGTGGAAGCGGGAGCTTGGGGAGTCCCTCGTGGGATGGGGTGGGGAGGTAAGAGGGCCTTTGGGCTGGGGCCCTGAACCATGAGTAACCGTTTTACAGACCCTGGACTTGGTGAGCAAGAAGAAGCCACAAGAGAGAAAGGGCCGGGGCGGCGACCTTGCCTGGTTGTTTAAGGGATGCAGGGTCGCTTTCTGGAGCGGGGGTTCTGGAGAAGGTAGAGAAGGGAGGGGAGGCTGCAAAGGCAGGTTGGGGCCAGACATCCCTTCCCCACGCGTGTGGAGGGACGCGATCCAGGACACAGCTTCACGAGGACCCAGCAGCGGGGACCTGGGCCAGAGTCCCGCACGACCATTGGGGCGCTGCGTGGGGCCGGCCTCGGGCTCCCCCTGGCGGGGACGTCCCGCGGTGCGCCTCGGGGAGGACCCAACGTCTGGGCTATAAAAGACCCTTTCGGCATTTCCGTGTCCGCCTCTTCCCCCTCCTCACTCCGCCCACACCAAGCGCGCCGGGCCGAGAACTCCCGTCTAAGGAGGCTCTGAGCCCGGGCACAGCTTTGCTGCAGACGCTCGGCTAAGCAGCCTCACGTCTCTCCTGCCAGAGCCGGGCCCCGCGCCACACTTGTTCTGAACTGTAGGGCGCCGAGCTCTTTGGAGGTGGGGGCAGGAAGGCGCCAATCCTTTGCTGAAATGGGCGCCTGGGGGGCGGGCGTGCGCCCACTCTTGGTGAACTTCATCAAGGAGTATCCGGGGAAATCCAGTCCAGGCCCCTGATGTGGGGAGACACGGCCAGCGCTGAGGGAAAGCCGCGACTCTCTCAAGAGGGGCCACAGTTTCCTGTAAAATGGAGACAGGCAGCTTGAAATCCCACACACCAGGTGAGCACTTGCGTATGCGGGTCCCTCCCAGGCAGAGAGAAAAACAGCCCGACAGTCAAGCTCGCCCTCCTGGGGACTCGGGTGGAGGACGGATGTATCAGGGAGGGCTTCCTGGACAAGAAGGAAAGAATGTTGGACTGAAGGGGAGCGTTGTGGGCAAAGGCTTGGAGGGCGAGTAAGAGTCGGGCAGGTCTGGGGAGGTGGTGGTGGGTGGTTCTCCGCGGTGGGGCATCTAGTGCTCCAGAGCAGGAGTCAGAACGGAGACCTCAGACGGGCCCGAGGGAACAGCTTCTAAGGTTCTAGCTGATATTTGAGTCCTCAGAGCTCTGTGGAGCCTCTTCAGGGTTCAGGTAGGGGACGTGGTCAGAGTTTTTCTAGAAAAAAATCGTTCTGGAAGGTGGTGGAGGACTGGTAGGAAACAAGGCAGAGGCAAGAAGAAAGCCCCCCAATCAAGGAGAGAACCGGTAAGGCCTGTGAACTGCAATTGTACCAGTGGAGCCTCGGGAAGAGCAACCCGTCGCAGAGTATTATGGGAGTGGGATCAGCTGGGCTGCGGGCAGTGGATAGTGATGAAGAGTCAGGTGTGCATCCCAGGCCCCTGGAGGTGTCCCCAAGTCCCCTCATGCCTCTGAGAGACGGTTACCACCTCTTAGGAAGCCCTGCCTCATGCCCCTCTGGGCCATAATATTCTTTGAGGCCAAGAGAATTGTGTTTTCTCATTACCCTTGGAGAACTACTATGAGCTCAGTGGGGGGAGAGACCCAAGCAGTCCCTGCCTTCATGGTGGTTTCAGAATGTATGGGTCCCTCTCAGCAGGTTCATAGAGCCCTCAGCCCTGAATATGCAGAGAAGGCAAGACAGGGAAACCAAAAGAATAAAACAGAAAGAAATAACACTGAAGTGGTTAACAAATTAGAAGGCAGGCACTCTTAGCTGAGTTGCATTTTAGAGTCGAGATTTTTTTTTTAATTGCGATGTCAATAAATACTCATTATAGAAAAGTTTGAAAGCACAAAAAATTATAAGAGGAAGAATATTCATATCCTTTCACTCAAACTTAACCACTTAGTTTAGTTTATCATTTACAGTTTTCCTTTCTATCTTTCTTCCTTATATAGTTTTCAAACTTCTAACACAGTTGTGGTTAGATTGTCTTCACAACTTGCAGAGTGTCTTCTCACTTAAGAATATCTCTAAGGGATCTTTGTTTTGTTGCTTCCTTAAACCCCACCTACAGATTTCTTAAGGCTTTTAAATGGTAACATCTCATTCTATGTAGGATCTGAATATTAAAATGTTCTCACTTTCTTAAACCTCTAGTAACCAACAGGAATTGTGCTACTGAACACACAGAAGAGACTCTCCTTATACAGTGCAAAAATGATTAGAAAAAAAGAATGATGACAATTTGGCCATGACAACATCACCCAAGTTCTGCTTCCAGATGTCAGATAGACACTGATCTACTCCATGCAATTGATCTGAATGAATTTTCAATGTACATTATGATCAACTAATTGTTTCCAATGCTACCTTTCCATTTAATCTTGTTTTTAGCTGAAAATTCATCTTCAAAAGGACACATAATTTGCTATTCATAAGCTGCTTATAATAGCAAAAGGAGATACAGCACTCTTAGCTAATTTCTGGGTGAAATGTGTGAGATCTTTAACTAAGGGATTCTTCCCAAATGCTGAAGTACTTAGGCTTCTTCTTGGAAAGAAAAAAAGCAAAAAGAAACAATGTGCTCCTAAAGAACTTAGGTTGTGTGTGTGTGTGTGTGTGTGTGTCCCTAATGTGGATCATAAATGGTTATTTTATTTGGACCTCAGGTGTACAGATCTGGATTAATCGCAATCCTTGGTTCATAACACAGTCTCATTTTGGCACTTTGGATATTTAATTTAGTTATTTTTATTTTACTTTTTGGCCATACCACATGTCATGCAGCATCTTAGTTCCCCAACCAGGGATTGAACCTGTGCCCCCGGTAGTGGAAGCGCAGAGTCGTAACCACTGGACCGCAACAGAAGTCCCAATTTAGTTATTTTTAACATTGTGAAAAGCAAACTAAAAGCTAAGACCTTGACAAAAACTTATTTCTAACCATATAGTCTCTGCCTCCTTCACCCTATCTCCCTGTTTCTGCAACTCCCAAAATTATTATGCTCAACCGTGTTTCATAATTCCCTTGTTTTTCTTTTTATAGTTTTTTCCTGCATTTATATGTAATCCTTATATTTTTTATTTTAATTTTTGAAGGGTATTTTAGTTTTATGAAAAGGCTATCATGCAGAATGAGACCTTTTGGGACTTATTTTTTCACTTAGTCTCATCCACAGCGTTATATATCTTTGTGGTTTATTCTGTTGTATACAACACTTTGTTGTTTTGCTTTTCAAAAATCTGTTCCTTTGACGGGTAAAAAAAAAAACAAAAAGAATATCTCTAAGGCATTTCCCATTATATAACAAACTTTCCCAGGTCGCCTTAAGTATCGCAGGGTTGAACAGGTCACCCCAATCCTGGCCTGCCAGGTTCAGCTTAATCCCTGATGCCTAAACTCCAGTAAATCTACAAATTATGAATGCAGTGCCACTTGGTTTACTTGTGTTTTGCATTATAACAGAATTTAAGAAACCTGGCTTCCAGGTGCTCATTAATCCTTGTTTTTTTTTCCTGGAAAAGATTTGGGCAACTCTAAGCACAGTGATTTAGAAACTACAGCAGTATAAATAACTTCCAGAGGAAGCAAGGATGAAGTATGGGCTGAGGTTAGTTAATAAGATTGGGATAGTGTCTTGTATTATATGAAGTGTGTGGTTTAGAGATGGTGAGTGACCCTAGGGAATAATCAGTGCCATTCTAGGTTGTGTTCACATTGATCTCATAAGGAAGAACTGAGCTATTGAGACATGGTTGGAGAGAGACATTGTCTCATTATTTAAACTGCACCAAAAAAAAAAAAAGAGTTTGCAGCATACTCTCAGTGGTTGACCCAGGAGAGGGAAGGAGGTATTTGTCATTATTCACACTGTGAATCACAGCTAGAAAGAGGGGCTCTGCTGACCTTTAAGGAAACCTTAGGAACAGGCCTTATGTTTTGAGCTCAGAGACCGAGGAGCACAAGTGTTCAACATCTTCCAGGAATTGGGCTCCATCATTGCCTGGGCCCTTGCTCTTCAGGGTGGGGTCTGCAAACCCATTGGCATCACCTGGGAGCTTATTGGCATCACCTGGGAGCTTATTAGTAGCCCCTACCCAGATCTACTGAATCAGAATCTGTATTTAAAGAATCCCCAGGTGATATGCACGTTCAATTTGAGAAGCACTGCTCTCTGTAACATCTAGAATCCTTCAGCTTTTTTCCTTCAGAAAAATTAGACCCTGGGTAAGGCTGTCAATAAAAAGGATGTTTAAAGGGGACCAACTTTGTGGCTTAACTTTTTCTTTTTAACTGAAGTATAGTTGATATACAGTGTTGTGCTAGTTTTGGGTGTACAGCAAAGTGATTGAGTTATATGTACATATACATATATCTTTTTTTTCAAATTCTTTTCCCTTATAGATTATTACCAAGTGTTGAGTATACTTCTCTGTGCTATACAGGAGGTCCTTGTTGGTTATCTATTTTATATGTAGTAGTGTGTATCTGTTAATCCCAAACTCCTAATTTATCCCTCCCCTGCCCCCTTCCCCCATTCTCCTTTGGTAACCCTAAGTGTGTTTTCTTTGTGGGTCTATTTCTGTTTTGTCTGTAAGTTCATTTGTATATATATTTTTAGATTCCACATATAAGGGATGTCATATGATATTTGTCTTTCCCTGTCTGGCTTACTTCACTTAGTATGATAATCTCTAGGTCCATCCATGTTGCTGCAGATGGCATTATTTCATTCATATATATGATGGAATATTGGATAAAGAGGTATTCTTTATACATTCATCTGTTGATGGACACTTAGGTTGCTTCCATGTCTTGGCTATTGTAAATAGTGCTGCAGTGAACGTTGGGGTGCAAGTATCTTTTCCAATTATGGGTTTCTCTGGGTATATGCCCAGGAGTGGGATTGCAGGATCATAGGGTAGCTCTATGTTTAGTTTTGTAAGGGACCTCCACTGTTTTTCATAGTGGCTGCACCAATTTACATTCCCACCAACAGTGTAGGAGGGTTCCTTTTTCTGTACACCCTCTCCAGCATTTATTAGTTGTAGACTTTTTAATGATGGCCTTTCAGACCAGTGTGAGGTGATACCTCATTGTGATTTTGATTTGTATTTCTCTAATAATTTGTGATGTGGAGCATCTTTTCATGTGCATTTTGGCCATCTGTATGTCTTCTTTGGAGAAATGTCTATTTAGATCTTCTGTCCATTTTTTGATTAGGTTGTTTTTTTTTTGATATTGAGCTGGAAGAGCTGTTTGTATATTTTGGAGATTAATCCCTTGTCAGTCTCATCATTCACAAATATTTTCTCCCATTCTGTAGGTTGTCTTTTTCCATTTTGTTTATGGTTTCCTTTGCTGTGCAAAAGCTTTTAAGCTTAATTAGGTCTCATTTATTTTTGTTTTTATTTCCATTACTCTAGGAGACAGATCCAAAAAGATATTGCTGCGATTTATGTCAGAGTGTTCTGCCTATGTTTTCCTCTAGGAGTTTTATAGTATTTGGTCTTACATTTAGGTCTTTAATCCATTTTGGGTATATTTTTTTTATGGTGTTAGAGAATATTCTAATTTCATTCTTTTATGTGTAGCTGTCCCGTTTTCTCAGCACCACTTATTGAAGACACTGTCTTTTCTCCACTGTATATTCTTGCCTCCTTTGTCACAGATTAATTGAGCATAGGTGCACAGGTTTATCTCTGGGCTTTCTATCCTGTTTCATTGATCTATATGTCTGTTTTTGTGCCAGTTCCGGGGTGTTTTTATGACTGTAGTTGTTGTAGTATAGTCTGAAGTCAGGGAGCCTGCTTCCTCCAGCTCCGTTTCTCTTTCT